GATGCAAATGTCATTACAAAATCCTCATGTCTTTCTTGTTAGCTCACATCTTTAAATAGACAGAAATGAAGAGCAGGCTGAAAGAGGTGGACTGATGGGAATAAGTGCACCTGAATCATCACTGCACTTGAGTGTGGAGGAGAAATGTAAATGATTGAGTGACTCAGAACCTCCCACAGGTGACAACTTAAGTGCAGTGACTTAACAGTCATTTAACCCCTTATGTGCAGTATGAGAAGATGGCTCTGAGTTAAATACTTGTTTTTATTATTATTATTATTTGATTGCAAGTTGTAATGGCAGATAAGGATTCAACACAGGTGAAGTTCACTCGTCACGAGAAAGTTTTCTGTCATGGAAGACCCGGTCAGTCCAGGACTCCCCTAAAGGCGCCACATCATCCAGAAATACCCCCAAACCACAGCTAGATAAGCATCTTCCTGGTAACCGGCCCTACAGACTGTACCTCCACTGTCCATCCACCTCTTCAGCTCTCCACATGACTAAACGACTAAATGACCTAATAAACAAATAAATAAATAAGATCCCACACACACGTCTAACTGAATGATTTCTTGCGCTGCAGGGGTGGCATATACAAGTGGAGGCTTTCTTTTGTAAAAACTATTTCTCTCTGGATACAATAGGACACAGTGTATGTCATTCTGTGGTCACGCATAGTGGGAACACCATCTGTACAAATGGGGAGCAGAGAGAGAGAGCGAGACAGCACCCAGTGTTTAAACACCGGGTAACAGAACAAATTTCACACACAAAATGTACTTCCACACCAGACAGGATAATGGTAGCCATGACAACTGGACCCAGAGCTAGACAGCGCGTCTATATCTCTACGCCTCTGTCAGTGTCTTCTGATACCTCTGACATCTGTCAATACAGAACAATATGAAACAAAAGTCTGTTTCATTAGGGAGATTAGAGATGACAGTTTAGTGTAATTGATGATGTTCTCTGCTGTAGGTTAACTACATTTCATCAACTCTTAAAGGGACAGTCCAGCCAAAAATGAAAGTTAACTCGTCACGAGAAAGTTTTCTGTCATGGAAGACCCGGTCAGTCCAGGACTCCCCTAAAGGGGCCACATCATCCAGAAATACCCCCAAACCACAGCTAGATAAGCATCTTCCTGGTAACCGGCCCTACAGACTGTACCTCCACTGTCCATCCACCTCTTCAGCTCTCCACATGACTAAACGACTAAATGACCTAATAAACAAATAAATAAATAAGATCCCACACACACGTCTAACTGAATGATTTCTTGCGCTGCAGGGGTGGCATATACAAGTGGAGGCTTTCTTTTGTAAAAACTATTTCTCTCTGGATACAATAGGACACAGTGTATGTCATTCTGTGGTCACGCATAGTGGGAACACCATCTGTACAAATGGGGAGCAGAGAGAGAGAGCGAGACAGCACCCAGTGTTTAAACACCGGGTAACAGAACAAATTTCACACACAAAATGTACTTCCACACCAGACAGGATAATGGTAGCCATGACAACTGGACCCAGAGCTAGACAGCGCGTCTATATCTCTACGCCTCTGTCAGTGTCTTCTGATACCTCTGACATCTGTCAATACAGAACAATATGAAACAAAAGTCTGTTTCATTAGGGAGATTAGAGATGACAGTTTAGTGTAATTGATGATGTTCTCTGCTGTAGGTTAACTACATTTCATCAACTCTTAAAGGGACAGTCCAGCCAAAAATGAAACATCTGTCAGCTTTTCTCATCATCATGTTCCAAATCCATATGGCTTTCTTTCTACATTGGAACACAAAAGGAGTTATTTAGTAGAATGTCCAAGCTGCTTTTTTCCATAAAGGTGAATAGTGTCCACTAGGAGTATAACGGTTCAAATTACTCGTGGTTCAGTTTATGTCAGGGTTTCAACACCCTCTTTCAACATCATGGCATAAGGCACACGCATTGAGCAAAGATTTATTTTTTTTTGTTCAACGCCGTTGTTGTAATGTATTGGGAAGCCAGAATACGACATAAACATACATTAGCTAAACTCAGTCTGTTTTACGTGTTGTTATATTTAGATGCGTTGTCAGATTTAAGTTCAACCATGGTGTAAGTGCTTGCCGAACCGTGGGTGGAGAACGGTACGGTTCGATTTTTTACTGAGAACCATTACACCCCTAGAGTCCACAGCTATCCTTGGTCCAAAAAATTCAAAAAATAATTGTGAGGACAGAATTAGCATTTTTTTGTGCCATTTTATTCTCATAGTCCAAACTATCTTTATTATTTAAATCAGTCAGTCAATAACCTTAATGTTATTCTGAATAAGCTGAATAACAATCTTAAAAACTTAAAAACATTTAAAATAAACAAATTCTTATGTAAATATTATAATACTTAATTTAAATTGACCAGTCAATAAACTATTAAAACAAATCCTATTTAATTAACGTAAATATCTAATATTTTCTGAGAAGAGATGTAACAC